TAAGAACAGATCCCCAAACCCGAAATAGAGGTGTCAGAGTAAAATATAAAATCATATAAACCCTCAGGGAGTGTGAGAATCGGGGCCTTACACTACCTCTTCGTTAGAGTTTCAAAAGTCAACCGTTGATCAGGCCCCCAATGAAAGGTCACACACTTCTTTGTCAAACGGGTCAAAGGTAAAACAATCTTTGAGAAATCCTAATACCCTATGAGACCTAAGAAGCTTTGAATCTCATATATGGTCCTCGGAACCTCCCAATGCATCACAACCTCGATCTTGGCCAGGTCAACCAATATTCCATTCTAGTTGACAATATGCTCTAAAAACTGCACCTCATGCAACTAGAACTCATATTTAGAGAATTTGGCATAAATCCTCTCCTTCCTCAGGGTCTCCAACACCTCTCACAAATGATGCTCGTGCTACTCCTTGATCTTGTAGTAGACCAGAATATCATCAATGAATATAATCACAGGCCGATCCAGCATCGGCATGTAGACCCGGTTCATGAGGTCCATGAATGTTGTTGGTGCATTGGTGAGCCCGAATGGTATCACCATAAACTCGTAATGACCATAACGAGTCTCGAAGTCTGTCTTCTGCACATCCTCATCCCCGACCCTCATCTAGTGATACCATAAATCAATCTTGGAAAACCAATATAAACCCTGAAGTTGATCAAACAAATTGTCAATCATGGGAACTGGGTAACAGTTCTTCACCATTAGCTTATTCAACTCCCAATAGTCAATGCACATCCTGTGTGAACCATCTTTCTTCTTTAAAAATAGAATCGGTGCTCCGACAGAGAACTGCTCGGACAAATAAAACCCTTGTCTAGCATCTCATGCAGCTGCGTAGACAACTCCTACATCTCAGGTGGTGTTAGGTGATATGGTGCCTTGGCTATCGGAGCCATATTGGGTACCAAATCAATCTGAGACTCAACCTGCCTCTTGAGAGGCCCTCCAGGAAAATCCTTGGGGAAAACATTAGGAGAATCCTGCATAATGGGTACTATGCTCAACTTCATCGTGTCCTCAACCCGCATGTCAAAAACATAAGCTAAAAACCCAAAACAACCCTGCTGCAGATATCTATTGGCCCTCACTGCTGAACAGAGAGTTGGCCCATGTGAAGCTCTCTCACCAGTTTTAACCAGTTCTCCCCCACTTAAGGTTCGAACTCTCACCAGCTACCGCTCGTAATCAATCATGTCCCCATTGGAGCCCAACCAATCCAACCCGGTGATAACCTTCAATCCTCTCAAAAGAATCAACACCAAATCAATAGAGAACCTCTCGCTAAACATGTTCGGGACACACCCACGAAAAACCCTCAAAGCACTCATGGTACGGTCATCCGCAATCTCCACCTTTAGGGAAAAATCCAAGGTCCTCGGGGCCTTTTGAAACTTCTTACTGAGCGCAAGAGATACAAAGGATCGGGTAGCCCCCGAATCAAACATAACATAACAAACAAACCATTGACCCAAAAAGGTCCCTATACAAGATCATAATAAACATAATCATAAACTAATGAAGCAATTATATCATATGATTCCTGAAGGTATCTTTAGCCCTATTCTAGCATGCAATTCTTATATCAAGCATACTAATCACAATACATAAGTATTGGTAACTTGGGAAACACTTACTTGAGCTCGGCTGATTGCATGCATCACACTCCCCTTTTTACTTACAAATAATCTTTTTTTTTAATGAGGTGAATTATATTAAAGGGTAGAATAGTAATTTAACATGTAGGAATTATGGATTGAAGAGTTGACACGTGGCATTAGAGGTACTGTAACAACCTAATTTCCAAGGCCAAAAATTTTGTTTTAATTATATTACTTGCAAAACAGTTAACTGAAAAACATCATCAATATCATATCAATCCATAATCCCATGAATCAAATGCCATAAAAAAACATCATGAGATAATAATAATAATGTTAGAGTACAATCCCAAGAATCTCATAATGCGGAAATTTGGTGTGCGTGTGATGTGCAGCTACCGCACCGACTCCTTCCCCTTTGTCGAAGAGGTACTTGAAACAAAACTGAAAATTGTAAGCACGAAGCTTAGTGAGTTCCCCTATCATACCACATACCATACAACAAACATACTGGTGGGTGATTCTGGGGTGCCCGACTTACCCATGTCAAGCAATTTTGGGGTGCTGACCTACCCTGCCAGGCGATTCTGGGGTGCCCAACCTACCCATATCAGACACTTTTGGGGTGCTGACCTACCCTCTGGTTTATTCCAACCGGCTTCGGGGACTATTTCACCCCCTACTACTACCAAATAAAACATAGCATAAACATATTGTTAGGCGTATCTGGGGTGCCCGACCTACCCTTCAGTCCTAACAACCGAACTTGGGGACTATTCCCCTCCTACTACCACTATCACATAGATCATATCATGCTAGCACATGAACATATCAGGTAGTAGCAAACTAGACAATTATCACAAAGACAACCATCTCATCTATAATCAACTACTACTAGTGGGTCAGCATTGGTGCCTTCGACCCACTTCTACTGGAAGGTAACTCACCTCGTAAAGCTAAGTGTCAAATCTCACAGAAAGTAATCTCTAACACCTGCTCCGATGACTCCCGGCTACCGTAATCATAATAACACTCAATCAGAATTTATAACATTACTTAGGGTAAAATGACCATTTTACCCCCCTTGGCGTAACTTAAAATATTCTTAAGTTCCAATTCTAACTTATTAAATCCAATGCACCCATGGCCCCTCAAGGCTCCTTAAGGGCCCTCTAATGGCCCAATTTTCTAAATTGGGCCCAACCCTTCAACTGGGCCTTTTCCCAATTCTCATAAGTCCTTAGCGCAAAATGAAATAATCTTGAGTGGCCCAATATGGCCCAAAATGATCAATGCTTCTAATTCCAAATTCTCAGGCCCAAAACTATACTCTACAGTGGGCCACGGGGCCTAACACTCCAGACCCGATCCCTTAAGGCCCAAAAGCCCATTATAGCCACTCTGCATGTGTACGCGTGGCGTACCTAGCACGTACACCCAGTGTATGCTGGCCTTGACTAAAATGGGGAGTTGACCCAGTACGTGCAGCGTACCAGGGTGTACGCTTAGCGTACTGGTCAGCTTTCTTAGGACTTCATTTGTGACTTAATCCATTAAGTCTTTACGTCCAAAATGTAGATCCAAGTCCTTTAAGACCTCCTAAACCATAAAGTCACAAACTTTATGTGCTTGCCTGCATGGTTGGGGTCAAAACATGATTTTTGTCCTTTTAACAATCTTTAAGACCAACTAACACTTGCATGGTTGTGGATTAACCATCAAGGTCCGATTTTTATGACTCTTAGTGCCTCTAAGAGCCCAAAAGGACAGCTATTATGGTCTGAAATCATAAAGATGCAAGAAGCCTCAACAATGGAGTCCAAAAGTGACCTTAAACATCCCCATAAACAAATCTAAGCATACAATAGCCAAGTATGGAACTTGATACCTCAAAAGAGTCAGAAATGATTGTCAATCTCCTGGATCTACAAGCTCTTGGTGGATCCTTGCTTCTTCTTTAAGCTCCTTTCTATTCCAAAGCACCAAAACTACACCAAGGCACTCTCAAATGGCTTCCAAATCACAAAGACACACAAATAAGGGTGAGGGTTTTCGTGGTGGCTGAATAGAGATGAGAAAGAGGCTGGATCAAAGGCATAAGATCCATTATATAGGGATCAAACCCTAAAAGTTAGGGTTTTAGAACCTGCGCGCGTACGTTGCGCGTACCCTTTGGTACATTGGGCGTATGTACATGGTCTCCCCACCCCAACCTCTTGAGTACGTTGTTGCGCGTACCAAGCATGGTATGCCCCGTGTGCTGCCTTTCTTGGCCAAAACTTAAGGTCCAACAATACTGGCTCAAACCAACAACAACCCATTAATCAATAAAATAAATAATATTAATACATGCAAATCCCAGATGTTGCAGGTACTATTTTATTAGAGGAGGTGATATACAAAACAACACAAAGACATTTTGAATAAAACATTCTGGACAATATGTTCCAGATCTGATCTTTGAATTCAACAACAGTTCTTCTATTCCAAATTAATTATTCACATTCCGAAATAATCTTAACGACATTACCTATTGTTCCTTAGTTCGTATGTAATATTAATTGCGGATTTTATGTTGCTTAAATGCTAACAATGAGTAAAAGTAGTATAACAATACATGTTATTCCGGAGATGAACGACATATTCGTGACTTGTTCTACGTATTTCGGATTATATAAATGTAAGTATTGTAAAATGTAAAACTAATCTTATTTGTTGAGTACATGGTGGAAACACACATAAACACACATGCGTGGGCCTCATATATATACATTCTAGCAGTGTTGGGCTTGACCCATATTTTCTACTCCATAATAGACATTCGTAGTAAATGGTTATCAACTTATCATGCAAATAATAATAATAATAATAATAATAATAATAATAATAATAATAATAATAGTTATTTTTTACAAAATGTCTTTAAAAGTCGGCGATTTCTCTTGTAAAAAATATGGACAGCCTAACTATCTATGAAATGAGATAGCATAGTTATTTTCGTGACAACCTATAAAAACTAACATCATGACATAGCTTTAATAGTAAATAACAATACATATTTTTACGTTTTCTGAAAATTATCAAAACAATATCATTTTTGTGAGTTATTGACCCATCATCCATCGTTACTTTTGCAGATATCCACTTTCTTCCAACAGTTGATGAATCAAAAGTTGTATGTAATAAACAAACATATATTAAAATAAAATAAAAAACACACAAACACAAAAAATTACTGGCATCTGTCACTGCAACTCATGTCTGTGTAACTTAACTTCTTTCTCCCCTTCTCTTTCTCTCTCATCTCACGCTTTTTGGCGTCACATCTTTCTTCCCGATTAATATCCAGATAAACCGACCCTACGTCGCCGTTTCAATGGCTTCAACGCACAATCAACCAATTCCGGTAACTTCTCCGTTGACGTTATCGTTATCCACCGAAACCCGCCGTCACTGCCGCTCCAAAGCTCAAATGTGCCTTTTTAAGATCCTCCGTATCATTTCGCTTTTCCCTGCCGCTGATGTCTCGTATGAGCAACGTTCAAGTCACGATGATCGAAGTTGTGAAAACAGACGGTTTGATGTTGATCTGAACATCGGTTTATGTGCCCCCGACGAGATTGAGCCGTTGGAGTATCCACTGGCAGCGGAAGGCGGTGAAAACTGTAGAGATTGCGTAGTTGCGTCTGCGAACAATGATCTGCATAACGACAACTTGTTTTTATCGGAGGAGAGAACGACGGAGCAATCGGAGATCTCGCATGTTGGAGATCAAAGCTCTGAAATTGATTGTAACGGCGCCTCGGAAGTAGAAGGAGAGAAGAAGATAAGAGACAAAGGATGTTTAGATTTGTTGATTGAGGCTGCGGAATTGATTCTCACAAACGAGAAAACAGAGCCGTCGAGAAGCATATACGTGAAATCATCAACGACGGCGGAGAAAGGAGGAGGTACAAAAAGGAAACAGCATGGTTGGACTACGGCGGCGGTGGCGGTGGCAGACTGGTATCCGGAGTTGGAGGATACATCACCGGTGGTGAAATCAAACCGCGGTAGGAATCAAGTGTTGCCGTTGAAGTACAGAGACTCCATTGTGGAGCCGTTGGTGCGGTGGCCGTTGTCGCGTCACCGATCAAACTCAGACGCAGCATTTCCGGTGAAACGAAGGTCAAAATAGTAAACACACCCACCAACCTCCAAGACGAAACCTTCAGGTGACCCTAATATTTATCCCTTTTCTTGGTTAATTCCTTTTCCAGAACGATATTACGCTGTATTCACTTGTACTTGGTGTATCAATTATTGTACATTGTTATGTAATTGTCAGTTTTGTAGTCTGGAAAGAGGCTACTTTCTTCTTTTCAGTTTTATATTACTCAATGTGTTAAATGACGCAACACATGTAGAAAACATTCCTTGACATATAAATTCGAGTAAATTACAGAAATGGTCCTTGAGGTATGCACTTATCTTCATTTTTTGTCCAAGTTTTGGAAAATTTCCTATGGTTTCCGAATCGGTCACATCTGGTCCATGCAGTCGTTACCGTCTACAAGAGTCTGTTAAAAGCCATCAGATTTCTTGTCATGTCTTAAAGTAAAGATCGTGACTTAATAAATTATACAATTGTTCAAATTTAAGTGATATTTCATAATGGTAATGTAATTCATTTAATGTGTTAAGACATATTATTCAGACAAAATTGCATCATTACATAACCAAATCAAGCCCAACATTCATCAACCAACAATGTTAGTATCCATACAACTACAATTAAAGTTGTTAGTAGACACAACTACAATACTTTAAACTCCAAGAAAATTAAGCTAACATAAGTCAGATTACAAGAAAACACAAATATTGTTTAGCAATTGATAATACTAATTCCAAATGGAAAACTCTCTAATCAATTGTATTTCCTTAATAACTTTGTGCCTTGGCTTGATGGTTGACTTCCTTCGGTAACGACTAATTACGCTTATTAGGATTTACAATTAATCAACATATACCATGAATTAGTGTTGTCAATAGTGATCGTAGCAATCGTTATAGCGAGGCGAGGCGATGATTGGGATAAATAGGGTATAAATCGATTTTTTTTATAAAATGGCAAAATTGATTGCTAGAACATGTTTTTACTGATCGGAATTGGTCCGATCTGTGATTGGGATCTCCAATTTTGCATTTTGGATCACCAATTTGGAGTTTGGATCGCCGATTTGGAGATTGGCGGGAAATCCATCAATCGGACAAAAAACTGCGCTTGACAACCTCTATGATTTCTGTTTGAATTTGATGTTTCGATTAATACTTCCAATAGATTCAATTGATTATATATTCTAGATTCATATACTTCTATTCTACAATTCCTTCAATTGCCTAGCTAGACCAAATCAGTTTTCTATTCTACTTCCCTGTTTAAAGTATTAGTTCCTTGAAATTTGATTTGAATGAAATGTGGTTTGAAGTGTTGGAAGTTCTATTTTTAAGTAAAATTATGTTAATCAATTATGTAATATTCATGTTTTAGAATTTATTTGAGCTCATAGTATTGGTTTTTAGCTTATCTGTTAATTATAATTGCTAGATAAGTGAAGGTAAAAATAGCATTAATTTTTTAGTACGCAATCGCTAAATATGAAATAGTCGTCGCTATTTCATCGCTATCGCTACGTATCGTATAGGTAGGTTGCCGCTATTACATCACTATCGCTATTGATGACATTGCCATGAATGTTGTATTGAATATATTTATACACTCTTATGATGCTTTGGTGCAGTAAGAGTTGTTAGAGCTCTTGAACAATTAGATTGGGACCACATGTCATAGTGATTTCAAGTAGGGATGGCGAAAAAGTCCGAATCCAACGGGGAAACCAGAAACCCGATCATTTTGGGTCGAGTAACGAGTCATTATTGAGTTTTTTATCAAGTTCGGGGCAGTAAGTAGGCTATCCTTGCCCCGACCATGTGTAGATCTAATGATTAACTCTTAGAGCCTTATAATATCTAAATCTATGATGTATGAAATTTTATACCATGTTTTTGTGCAATTTGGTTGAAATGTATTAGCCAAATGTAATGAAAGTGTCAATGTCTACATCATCTTTATAGAAAAGTTCACACATAACTCTTCTAAAGCTTTGATAATATAATCATTCGGCACTTTTTGATAAATTGTTCTTCTTTTTTTATTCACTTTTCTGTTAAAGGATCTATCAATCATAATTTTATTGTTTCAACAGATTGAAAGTGTTAAGTCACTTGCGGTTGGATTAAATAATTTCAGATTAACTGATTTGACCCTATTGCGCAACTCTCAATTGAGTCTAACCGTTGCAGGGATGAATCTTTTATTCGAATGAGTATTTGATCATTCTATCAAGTATAAGTGTTTTGCAGCTGGTTATGGTCAATTGTTTTGTTTTCGTAGGTTGCATCAAGATAATCAGGGTTGGAAGTGTTATGTTTGGTCAGACCATTATAGATTTTAGATCTCAAAAAAGTTAGAAGTGGTTTTTCTTCGGGGGCTAAGGGTTTTCCTCGGTATAGAATTTCTGTTGGGTTCTGTGGTTTGGGTAGGTTGTCCTTTTGTGTGGAATGTTTGGTTGCATTCCTCAGGTTGATGGTTATGTTATGAGTATTAGTAATGAGCGATTTCGAGGACGGAATCTAATTTAAGTGGGGGAGAGTTGTGACACCCGGTTTCAGATTTACTTCTTTATTCGGGGCTGTGGCCCGATCATCTGTGGTTGTGAGGCTTATGGCCTTTGGAAATGAAGAATTTGGCCCTTCTCGGGTGTGGGTGTTATGATCTAAGTAATCCAAGTGTTCGATTGTGTCTTCAGATGCCAAGGGTATAATCGTAATTTGATATTTCGGTCTTTTATGGATTTTGGGTTTTGTTTGGGAGTTTTTAAGGCTTGTGTGTTATTAGAAGCGTAGGGATTCTCGCCACCTTTCCTTGGATATAATGTTCATTGGAAACGAACTTGGGGAGAAGGAGTTATAGTCGAATGAAGTTGAGAATCTTGGAGTATGGATGTCAAAAAGTCTCATGGGGCCCCGATCCTGAATGGGAAATATTTGTTTAAAAAATCGGGGATGGGGGCGGGGGCGGGGGCAATGTTAACCCCCGTTTTAGTTTCGGGGGCAGGGGCGGGGGTGAGTAGTCCCGTCCCAAACCCCCAATGGGGACCCCATTAATATATTATTTATTTTAATATATATTAATTATAAAAATATAATAAATAATAACAATGATATTGAACTTCTAAATTCAATTAAATATCATGTTTTTAAGTTTATACTATAACTTTTTTAAGATGTTATAATATTTTTATTTCAAATATATAAACTTATGCTATAAATTACTATTTTTATCCAAAATAGTTTCTTTTAGCTCAAAAAATAACTTCTTTTAGCCTAAACAACACCTTCGTTCGCCAAAAAAAAAAAGTCAACCCAAATGGGTGCGGGGAAACGGGGGCTGGGGCGGGGATAGGGAGGCTAGAGATTTCAGGGGCGGGGGCGGGGGCGGGAAAACAGGAAAATTTCGGGGGTGGGGGCGGGGAATGCAATCCTCGCCCCGTTTTCCCTCGTTGACATCCCTATTTTGGAGGGCCATCTAGTATGTTGGGCGTACTAGATGTGTACGCAGGGCGTACCAAGAAAATTTGGCGCGCGTGCTCTTTGAGTACGCCGAGCGTACCAAGGGGTATGCCCTTGGTACACGGGGCGTACTCCCTTTAGCCATGAAACCCTAAATCGAGACCATTGACCCTATTTAAACCTCATTTCTTTCATGAGCCTCATCTTGTATCCACCCCTCAAACTCCTAAACCCAAGAAGTCAACCTTCAGCCATATCTTGGAGCATTTAAGTCATTGTGGGGGATTGTTGGGGCATTTTTGTACACTTTAAAGAGCTTGGAGTTTATTGAAGAATCACCACCTAGAAAGGAGCTTGGAAATCCATAGGTTTTCCATCTTTTGCAATCCATTGGAGATAAAAAGCTTTGATCTTGTCTTCTAATTTCATAGATTTTCTTTTGGGTTTGTTCTTAGCCATTTTAGCATATCTTGGTGGTTCTTATGAGATATAGTTGTTTCATAAGTTTGATATTGTGGATCTGGATGTTTTAGGTGTCCCAAAGGCATAAAAATGTGATCTTTATGGTTTACTTGGACTCGTGCGTGTGTTAAGACCTTTCATTAAGCTCTTCTGAGGTCTAGAGTCCCATTAAGCCATGTATGTAAGTAAAGTTGCCAACTTTACATAATAAGTCATCTATGGGAATCATATCTGACAGTTTGGAGCAAGGACTCAAGTGATTAAGTGTTTTATTGTAACATCCCAAAAATACGGACCAAAAATTTCATTTTTGATATAGTAATTGACAAAACAATTTATAGAAAACATCATCAAGTTAATTCATTTCATCAAAAGCAATAGATCAGATAGTCTCACAAATATGTTATAACATAGTATCAATGTCAGAGTATAATCCTAAGAATCTCATATGCGGAAATCGTGTGTGTGATGTGTTGCTAGCGTGCCGACTCCTTTCCCTTAGAAGAAGAAGGACCTGAAACAAAATTGAAAACCGTAAGCACAAAGCTTAGTGAGTTCCCCCATCATACCACATATCATACATAACACATATTGTCTATCAAATCTGGGCAATAGCTACCCCTTAGTTCTCTTTCAATCGGTAACTTGCCTAGCATATAAGGGTGTTAGCCTACCCCTTCGGTCCTTTCGACCGGTACCTTGCCTAGCATATCAGGGTGCTGGCCTACCCCTTCGGTCCTTTCGACCGGTAACTTGTCTAGCATACTAAGGTGCGGGCCTACCCCTTCGGTCCATTCGACCGGTACCGGAGACTATTTCACCCCTACTTCTACCACATAGCATCATATTGCATAAACATATAAGTCATTACTGTCTAGCTTATCCGGGTGTTGGCATACCCCTTCGGCCTTATCGACCGATACTGGGGTCTATCCTACCCCTCCTACCACTATTACATAACATCATAACATACTAGCACATAAGCATAACAGATAGTGACACGCCAGATAATTATCACAAAGACAATCATATCTACTATAGCCCTTACTAGTGAGTCGGCATTGGTGCCTTCGACCCACTTCTAAGGGAAGGTAACTCACCTCA